GGGAGTACTTAAAATAAAATGAAATTTTAAAAATATGGGGCCATGTGGGGGGCTGGCCCCGTGGCCGAGTGGTTACGTTCGCGTGCTCCGCTGCAGGCGGCCCAGTGTTTCGTTGGTTCCAATCCTGGGCGCGGACATGGCACTGCTCGTCAGACCACGCTGAGGCAGCGTCCCACATGCCACAACTAGAGGAACCCACAACGAAGAATACACAACTATGTACCGGGGGGCTTTGGGGAGAAAAAGGAAAAAATAAAATCTTTAAAAAAAAAAATAAATAAATAAGTAGCAATAGTATTGAATTATAACCCAAAGAATAAGATAAATACTCATGACAATATTATAATTAATAAATGATTTAATGAATAAATAAAAGGGGAAGAAGGGACAGCTTTTCCTTAAAGAAGAATTGTAATTAATAAGTGTAGAAGAAATGAAGGAAATGAAAACTCACCATTTGACCATCACAGTAATCATTGCTGCGATCAGGATCCATCAATGAATGCTAAATTAGTGAGTGAGAGTTTAAAGAGAGATGGGATATGTATAGTCTCAATGTATCTCCTCTAAAAGATGTATTGAAGGGAAAAACAATGACTTTACATTGGAGAAACCCAGCAGACACCACCTTAATCAAGAGATCAAGGTTATCCCACCAGTAATTAGATGTAATACTATGCACCCCCTGATAGGATGCACCAAAAAGAGCACTTCACCTCTGTGATGCTCTTCCCAAAAATTCGTAATCTTAATCTAATCATGAGAAAACATCAGGCAAATCCAAACTGGGGGAGAGTCTACAAAATACCTGATCTGTAGTGTTGGTGCTCAGGAAAGACTGGGAAACTGCTACAAATTGGAGAAGACTAAGGAGGGATGATAACCAAATGCATTGTGGAATCCTCAACTGGAAAGGGACATTAGTGAAAAAACTGGTGAAATCTTGATAAAGTCCATGGTTTAGTTAACAGTATTGAATCAATGTTACTTTCTTAGTTTAGATAATTTTACTAATATAGTTATGTAAAATGTCAACCTTAGGGGAAGTTGAGTGAAGGGGATAGGGAATTTTCCTTACTGTATTGTTGCAACTCTTCTATAAATGTAAAATTATTTCAAAATTAAAAGTTAAATAGTATGTAAGTGAATCCAGCATTACATGGTGTAAGTTTTACGACAGAGAAACAGGAAGCAAAATGTCTGAGAGATATAGCAGCCATCATTTTAGGTGTTAACTTGCAGATGGAGAAGATATTCTACTGAAAGCATGTTTCCTGTCTAGCAAGGCCAGGCTGGATCTGGGTCTAGCATAAAAAGAGGAATGCCCAAGTTATTGTTTTCATAATGCTTTCCGAAGTCGGATGATTTGTGGGGTCTTTTATTATTCTCTGTTGTCATGAGACTCTCTTTTTTGTGTTTGCAAGGTAGTTGACACATATGCTCCCAAATGTTTAATGAAGGAATGAATGAATTTGGTTGGTGTGATGAAACATTAATCCATTCCATTTGAATAAATGGCGATAAGAAACAAATGCTGCATAGCTATGCCATTTTCAAATTTCATCCCTCTTGCTCACTCCTCATTTTACTGTATACTTTCAGGCAGAAAGCTACAGACTGTGAATGAAGCAAATTACCCAGATTCCTGTGAAGAAATAAAAAGGCTTTTATTTTAAAGCGCCTTTCCATTGCTGCTTCTTAACTTGACAATTATTAACTTGCTCTATCACTGTGCCAGACAAGGACGTAAAGGTGGTGGTTAACAGGGAGGGCTCTGTAGTCAGACTTGGTTTCTGTTCCAGTTCTGCAACTTAACTCTAGCAAGGTACTTAACTGTCTGCCCTCACTTTCTCCTAAAACAAGGATACTTGTAGGGTTTTTCAGAAGAAATCATCTTCAGAGAGCTTAGATCAGCTTCTGGCACATAGTAAGCACTTTTAAAAGAGATGATGACAACATATTCATTCGGCAAACCTTTATTGAACAGCTGCTGTCTACAGACAGCACGCTAAGTGCTGAGAGTACAGACGTATCATTTCCCTTTCTCTACTCTCAAGGAATTTAATCTGATGGGGAAGACAGATAAGTGAAACAAGAAGAAGAAGAATGGCAATTCTTCTTCTATTCTCTTGCGTAGCTTACCCAATAGCTGCTGTTTATTGAGCATCGACTGTATTTCAATAGCATGCCTAAAGTGTTATGTATTATCTACTTCTAATATGTGTACTTATCTACATATCCTTACTTATTGTGAGTATAAGTTACTCACAATAACTTTATAAAGTGTTGATATTGTCCCCATTTTGCAAATGAGTAAACCAAGGCTCCGAGAAGTTAAGTAATTTGCCCAAGATCACACAGCTAAGTGGAAAACCCAGGATTTGATCCGAAATCTGCCTAATGCCAAAGTCTTCCTTAACCCATATATCAGATGATTGCAAATACAAAGTGCCTTCACAAGGTTATAGAAGACGTCTGCATATATGCTATTATAATAGCTTTAGTGAACCTGTTTGTCTTACAGTGTTTCGTTTAATGTTCCTACGGGCTCACGTTCCAATTTTCTTCAGTTACCTCCAGGAAATAGAAGTAAACATCTGCTCAGTACCATTCTTCTTATAAGTTAACAGGCCGCTTTCTCTGTCCTAGATGTGTAAAGGCAAGGTTGAGAGTGGGCGACCAAGGGCACTGGGATGCCTTCCTAGCTCTTGCTCTCGTCTTGTCTATGAAATGTGCCAGTGAGAGAGCCCAGGGTCCGTGAGGAGGCCAGGCCGCCTTCCTGAGAGGCCTCTGTCCCAGCCACTCCTCGAGTTCATTCCACTCCAGGGAAGTTCAGAATGAAGTCCAGGGAAGTTCAGAATGAAGGAGTTACGTAATGGCTCTTTGAGATGTTAAAACTTTACAATGCTATTTGGAGAGTATCCTCAATTTACATGTGCTAAAACTTGTCTTGTGATTATGGTTTAAAGTGCATCAGTTGTTGGACCTATTTCAGGATCTCCAGACACACATCCCAGAGCTTCTTGTGCTTTTCCTTGTTAGTAAATTAGTATTTTCCTCTTTAAATATTATTTGAACATCTAGTCCTTGACTCATTTGAGAGTGTAGTTTTTCTAGAAAATTAGAAACGTATCAGTATGGACATGTGGGTTATGATGTGATATGATTGGCTAGTCGGAGAGGTGGAGTTGAGAAGATAAGACCTCTCTGACCGTTGTTTTGGAAAGCCAAGTATAGGACTGAACTGCAGTCACCTTGTGAAGGGAGAAGTTCTCATTGCCTCCTGCTCCTGGATGCCAGGGACAGACCACAGTGTTCCACTACATTTAGACTCTTTCCCCACGTCCCCTGTTTTCTCTTCTGAACCCTTAAGCTCCTCTATACTTTTTCTCCCGTTGCTGTGTATTTTCTCAGGAGCTTTTCTCTGAAAGGCCATAGTTGGTAATGATGGCTTCACATAAGTAGAAGAGAGCTGACATTTCACTTCTACTATGGCATTTTACATTCCTAATCTCATTTAATCCTCACAGCATCCCATCTGAGTAGTGGATTATCCCCACATTTATAGATGCAGAAACTAAGGTTCAGGGAAGTTAAGTAATTTCCCCTGGGGGACTTGAAACTAGACGGGGACTGGAAGTCAGCTCTAGTCCTCCCTGACTTCATAGACTGCACTCCGCCATGAGGCTGTGGTGTTGGGGATTGTGACTATGGTTACTGTTACAACTGCTTGCCACCAGTTTTTACATCAACAGCTGAGAGAATGCTTCACCTAAGGTACAGATGTGTGCCATAGTCTCAAGATGTGAATAGAGTGTGAGTTTATGTTAACTCATTGGTTCCCACAACAATCTGCTGACTACACTTATTTATTATTTCAACTTTACCGATGGGGAAACCAAGGCACACAAAGACTGATCCAAAGTCACGTGGCCAGTCAGTCTGGCGCTGAAGACTTGATCCAGTCCCCCTGGGGCACTTCTTAAAGTTGACGATCCCTGCAGTGCCCTGTGCTAGCTGGGAGTAAAGCTAGTTCCTGTCACTAAGGCAGTGTTCTTCAGTCAGGAGTGTGTTACAACATAACACAGTATGACCAGAACTTGCAAAATAGTAGGAATTTGTTTGTTCAGTAAGAACTTGAGACTAAGTGAAGGCTTAGCAAAAGGGAACAAGCTTGCATTTCTACCAGAGCTCACAATTCGGTATTCTGCTGTAATTTTCATGCATATTGAAGATATCTTAGTACAGTGTTTCCAGACTGTATAACAAGACTGTAGATTCAGTATGACTAACATCATAAGGGGAAGGCCATTAACTGGTTTACAGTATAATGCCACTGCATTCCATAAATGAGTAGATAAGAGATACTGGTGATAGGTGGCCTGTGGCTGGGACCATATGGCCATCACCTGTTAATGAGCTGTTCTGATGGGTCTCTGCCAAAATCAGGATGTACAGGCCAACACTTAGAGAGTTGTTACTTCAGAAACGCTATACTCAGTTGCCTTAAAAGGTTATATATCTTGCTACCCTGGGGTAATGGCTGTAAGAGCAGCCAGTCCACTTGGTTGGATTAAGGTAAATATGTTAGAGTTTTACTCATTCGTTTCTTTCTTTATAGACCATATAAGATAAATGGTCTTAATCATGGAGTAATTGAAATTCTAAGATTATCAAATTCAACTTGATTGTCCACACCAATGGATTTTCTTTCAGACTTAAAAATACATTATTTAAAGTCTTCTTCCAGTCTCTCATTCACTTTGAGAAAAAAATTTGATTCATGTACACATTCGTTCAGTACGTATTTAGTGAATTCTTAATATTTGTTAGTCATTGTGCTAAGTGCTAAGGAAACATCACAAGATAGATGTCATCCCATTCCTCCCAGAGCAAATAGTAGTAATATTGTTAATAGAGCATATTATTAAATTTATTACGAGAAATTCAGTATAGTTTGAGAGCATAGATGAAAGTAACATTTATTTCCATCCCAATAGATTTCGGTTTTGGAAATTTCTTTAAAAGTGGTGAACTGCTGGCAACATGGTGTGGCAGCCCCCCTTATGCAGCCCCAGAAGTCTTTGAAGGGCAGCAGTATGAAGGACCACAGCTGGATATTTGGGTATTTCTTTGCTTTGCTGTGTTAAATGCATCTATGATGATAATACTTGGTACTCTGGCCCATCTTTGAAGCTCTTGGTACCTAAAACATAGACAGTAGTTCATACTTTCCCTGTCCACTGGATTGTAATTAGTTAGAGTATCTTGAATTAGATTCTAGGAATCAATTTCTAGGGACGGATGTTAATCATCCTAATATCGGCAATAAATTAAAGTTGAGTAATAATCAAAATGATTAAATTCAGATCTTTTGGTATTTATTATAGGATACTTTATTGCAGTAGTTAGGGTTTCAGGGTTTTTTTTCATAGTCTGAGAAAATAGTAAATCCAAACAAGAATTTTTCAGTCCATAGGATTTTTAAGAGCCCTAGGGATATTTAGGAAAATAAAGTGTGACGTTTTCGGGAGAAAAGTGATTGCGTTGATTTCTTCCCTAGAGCATGGGAGTTGTTCTTTATGTTCTTGTCTGTGGAGCTCTGCCTTTTGACGGACCAACTCTTCCGATTTTGAGGCAAAGGGTTTTAGAAGGAAGATTCCGGATTCCATATTTCATGTCAGAAGGTAACAACTTGTTCATCTTACAATTGTGCTTTACAGAATTTGTGCTCCAAGTGAAATGCCTAGGCAAAGGCTTCTCTTTTTCCAAGAGTTTGGGTGCCAAATAAAGTGACTGAGTCACTTTAAAAGCCATAGAAATAAGCACCCCCTCCATGTAGGTGAGAGAAGTTCCAGCCTTCCTACTTGTAACTGAAAACAGAAAGTTTCCCAGATTAAGAACAGCAAGTCTTCCCATTTATTCTCAGTCTATAAATGTCCCAGGCTTATTTTAGACTTAGAGAAGCACTTTGTAGATACAGATTCACAACCATTTTATTCTAAGTACGAAATGGATTTTCCCATATCCTTTGGGGGGAAGTTGCAAATTAAAATTTTTTAATTAAATTTAAAACCAACTGGCAAAACTATTGAATTAAGATGAAATGCCATAATCCCTACCAGTCCTTGTATTGGGTTGTTATGTAGGCATCAGTTAAGTTTACCCCTCAGTTTAGTTTTTGGTTATCATCCTTAACTCTTTTGCTCCTACTAACAGTAGAAGTAAGCCCTAGTAGTTAATTGCGTAGACTTTGGAGCCAGACTGCCTGGTTTTAACCCTGAGTTCCCTACTTACTGGCAGTCTAACCATGACAAGTTATATCTCCTCTCTGTGCTTCGATTTCTTCAATCTGTAAAATGGAAACAACAGTAGTTACTAATAGAGGTGTTGTGAGGATTGATTAAATTAATCTGTATAGAGCACCTAGCATGGTGCCTGGCACACAGCAGGTGATACAAGGTTAGCTTATGTGGGGGTAGTAAAGAGCATGATATCAGCTCAGAGAATAAGCTAGTGCCCAAAGTTGCAGCAGTGCAGTTTTCTTGGTGTAATCAGAAGTAAATAATGTTTCACGTACATTTTTCTCAGCTGCACTGATATGGAGAAAAGCAACAGTCCACTGGAGAGCTCTTGCCTCACTTATATACATAGCCTTAGTATATCAGCCTCAGAAGTGACTGAGGATCCATTTATTATTTGCTTGTTCTAGGAAGAAGGCTTGTTTTTTCCTCTAGTGGAAATCTAAGTCTGTGTCTAGATATTTTCAGTTGAGAAATTCAGTGGAAAGGTTCATTTAATGCAAAATTGGATAGACCTACACCCTTCTGTTGAAGTATTCATTCATGGTGATGGTTAATTTTGTGTCAGCATTCACCATGTGAACTTGACAAATATAAGTAGCCTTTATATATTCATTTGTTCATTTGACCTACTTTCCGGTGGGCACTGTGGAGGATACAAAGATTAATGCCAGTGTACCAAGTCACATGAGTCAAGCAAATACTCTGAAGTGCAAGGTGATTTACATGGTTTTTCTAACATTGTGTTTCCTGTAGATTGTGAGCACCTCATTCGAAGGATGTTGGTCCTAGACCCATCCAAACGGCTAACCATTGCTCAAATCAAGGAGCATAAATGGATGCTCGTAGAAGTTCCTGTACAGAGGCCTACTCTCTATCCACAAGGGCAAGAAAATGAGCCATCCATTGGGGAGTTCAATGAGCAGGTTCTGCGATTGATGCACAGCCTTGGAATAGATCAACAGAAAACCATTGAGGTAAAGTGCTCGGAGATTTGACTAAAGATACTTTAGGATTCTGTTGTACTTAGGAACTTGAAATTTCACACGCTTACCTGTCCTCCTGGTCTTTCAGCATGCCATCCCAGCACCTGGGCATACTGTTCCGTTTTCCCTCAAGATTACATCAGACTCTATTTATGTTTGCTTTTATTCAATGTATAAATTCCTCCCTTTGCCCCATCTGCTAAAAAATTCACGAGAAAGGGTTTATATAGGATTGAGAAAAGACAAAGATGGAAGCTAATTACAAAGTAGAAAGTTTCTTCTCAGATGAAGCATAAAGGTGTATGTAGGTAAGAAACCAGTTTATGTGGAACATCAGCGTGCAGATATGGAACAGGCTGAGGACTGAGCAGGAAACAAGAAGGTAGGCATCAGGTTTAGGAAAGCCAGTGAGATTTAGGTTGTAAACTGGAGAAAGTGGCAAAAACAGGTGGATTCCTGATTTGGAAGTATTATGGGTCATGACCCTGAGAAATTGCTTGTCACTTTTATTTCTGTCCTTTAAGAGTTAGCATATTTCATAGGATATACATATTTTTAATATCTCCACAACAGTAAAAAACAAACAAACAAACAATGCTTTTAAGAAGGAAGCATAACTAGAAAGAACATCAAATGCCCCCTTGTGAATATAAAGTGTTCCAGACTGTGCTGCCTTTTCCTTCGTTGTAACCGTAGTGAAACCAGACTGGCTTTCCTGCTTTGCTCAGCATGAGCTCGGTGATGTTTTTCTGTGCTTGTTCTTGAAGTAGATCTAGAATGGCAGCTGTGAGTGCAGTTTCGCTGGCCTCTGGTTTTTGCTGAGAGTGCTCTGCATCTGAGGTGCCCTGCACAGCGCCCGTGCAGACTGTCAGGTGGAATTAGAAGCCAAAGAAGCAGTGGTTTCTCTGTTTCTTTAGCATCCTGGGAAAGCTGGCCGGCAAGGGATGTGAAAATTGGGAAGCAACTTTATTTTCAAGGTTTCAAGAGGGTGGGACTGCAAAAACAAGAGGAAAAAATTACCTAAGAACAGAGACACAGTGTCTCTCAATCTAGCATCCAAATGTCATTCTCCAGCCCAAAATAATCACCAGAAATTTCCCCAAAGACTTTAATCGTTCACTTCAGAGTTTGCAATGGTTTGGACTTGTGTTGAAGCTATGGAATTAGAGCCTCTGGGCTCAGGTTGCTAACCAACCTTCCATCATAGCTACAGCCATGAGATGGGACCTTAGGACAGCGTTGAGGAATGTCTCCATGAGACGATGATGGCGTTTTCTCTGAATGCAGAAAAAGGAATGGATCTTGTTAATGTAAAAGGACCAATCAAGTCATTTAAAGGCATCACCCTTTATATAACTAATACTAGAAACTTGAAATTATGCCTTCCATCCTAAATTCTGGAACAGCTTTCATTTTGACACACACTTTGTTTGTTACTCTATTTTTAAGAACATGTGACTTCTTCCCTCCTTTTTTAGAAAGGTGTAGATCATTGGGTGGGTTTTTATGGTTCTCTGCCTTCAGCGCTTGTTTTCTGTTTCAGTCTCTGCAGAACAAGAGCTATAACCATTTTGCTGCCATTTATTTCTTGTTGGTGGAGCGCCTGAAATCACATAGGAGCAGTTTTCCTGTGGAGCAGAGACTTGATGCCCGCCAGCGTCGGCCTAGCACCATTGCTGAACAAACAGTTGCCAAGGTAACACCCCATTAGCCAACAGTCTTATCTGTGCATGTGCCTATTCACATGTCTGACACATTGTTCATCTTGTACGACAATGGGTTAGGATTTCGTTCTCTGCACTGTTTTTCTGTAAAGTTTCTGCCTATCATTCACCAGATTCTCAAATGTTTTAGTATCTTCCTATTTTTAAGAATTAACTTTATTTCAAACAGTTTATTTCTGTAAGAGAGTTCTCCTTTTTTTATCATTCGCTTATGTTGAGAACTAATGTAATTAGCCTGTATATTCAGTTTCATTTAACACATTTTTATTGCAAATTTACCATGTGCAAGCTTCTATAGGGGTTAGAATGTATAAAACACAGTCATTGCCCTCAGAGACATTACAGTATAGAAGCAAAATAAAACAACATCATAAATAATCATGATTCAAAATACAGAAAGATACATGCTGTGGAAGAACTAAAGGCAGAGGAAAGAGAGATACATCTGAATGGGAAAGCTTCATGGGAGAGATGGCATTTAAGACAGATCTTCAGAGATGTGTAGGACTTTGTTAGGGAGAGGCAGTAGTTGAAGGCATTATCGGTAGGCAGAAGAAGCGGCATGAACAGAAGTACTCCAGTGGGCAAGTGTGGGGCTTGTTCAAGTTAACCCGCTGGAATTGAAGCATAGGGAAGTGAAAAAGTTGGAGTGGTAAGTTGAAGCCATGTCATGAAGGTTTTGAATGCCAAGGTAAAGATTTTACTTGTAATTCAGGAAGTAATGAGGAACTAATGAAGAATTTTGAGCAGAACAGTGATGAAATTATATCATGCTTTAAGCTTATTAATCTGGTGATACTGACAAGGATAGACTGGATAGAGAAGAGGAGAAATTGGGAGAGAGCAGTTAGGAGATTATGACGGTAGTTGAGATGAGAACTACTGAGGGCTTGAACTCAGGTGGTGCTGGTGGCAGTAGAAAGGAAGGGAAAGCGTAAGAGCCTGTCAAAGGTAGACTAGGTGAACTTAGCAGTGGTTTGGAGAGGCAGCTCAGCATGCTAACTAAAAGCAAGGACTCTGGAGCAAATCCCAGGTTCTCTCATTTTCTGCTTAAGAGTTTAAAAAGTGACCTTGAAACAGTTAGGGGCTGGCCCCATGGCCGTGTGGTTAAGTTCGCGCGCTCCACTGCGGCAGCCCAGGGTTTTGCCGTTTCGGATCCTGGGCCCAGACATGGCACCGCTCATCAAGCCATGCTGAGGCGGCGTCCCACATGCCACAACTAGAAGGACCCACAACTAAAATTTACAACTCTATACTGGGGGACTTTGGGGAGAAAAAAGAAAAAAATAAATCTTTAAAAAAAAAAGGTTACTTAAGGTCTTTCTGTGCCTCAGTTTTCCAAGCTGTAAAATGGGGATAATTATAGGATGTTATGATGTTTAAATTAGTTAATAATTGTGCAGGACTTAGAGTAGTGCTATGTAAGTGTTTGTTGTGTAAAATAATCAATAAATATTGGGAAGGAAGAGACAACAGTGAGTTAGAGATGACCCCACTCTTGAGCCCTAGGATGAGAGAATAGTGGTGCCTTTAACTTATTTGCATAGAAGGAAGAGTGAATCTGGATCCTGGGAGAGAGGCTGGGGCTAAAGAGAGTTGGAAGATCATCTATATAGAGGTTAGGAAGAGGAAGGGTTCGTCATTTGATCTACTAGGGTTTCCATCTACTTCTGTGAGTATTTGCTTTGTTCAAAGTGCAAGTAAGAGAAAAAGAGTTTTGACTTTGCATTTCCTGGTTAGCAGTTTTAGAAAATGTGGAGGATTGTAATAGAATTTTGCATTGGTTCCTACAGAATATGTGGGGAAAAAAAACCCAAGGAAATTAAAATCTCCTTGGTTTTGTAGGCAAATGGTATACTTTGTTATAAATGCTTTTTTTTTACTGCAATATATACATTCACTATTTTTTTTTCTTAAAGATTGGCACCTGAGCTAACAACTGTTGCGAATCTTCTTTTTCTTTTCTGCTTTTTCTCCCCAAATCTCCCCAGTACATAGTTGTATATTTTAGTTGTGGTTCCTTCTAGTTGGGGCATGTGGGACGCTGCCTCAACGCGGACTGACAAGTGGTGCCGTGTCTACGCCCAGGATCTGAACTGGCGAAACTGTGGGCCACCGAAGCAGAGCGTGTGAACTTAACCACTCGGCAGGGCCTGGCCCTCCATACTTTAATATATAAAATAATGTGAATATTGATACTAATGTGAGTAACATAATGTATTGATAAAGTTCCAAATATTGGGGTAAGAGCATCTTTGAGCACTCTTGGAATCCTTCGAAGTTGAATGGTATTGCTTTCAGCACAGAGAGGAGGGAGATGAAGTGAGAATCCTTAAGTTGGGGTACGCCAGCCCTGGTGGTCTAGTGGTTAAGATTCAGCTCTTTCACTGCCTCAGCCTGCGTTTGTTTTCCATTCAAACCACACCACATGTCTGTCAGTGGTCACACTGTGGTAGCTGCATGTTGCTGTGATGCTGAAAGCCATGCCACCAGTATTTCAAATACCAGCAGGGTCACCCACGGTGCACAGGTTTCAATGGAGTTCCCAGACTAGACAGACTATGAAGAAGGACCTGGCCACCTACTTCCAAAAAATTGTCCATGAAAACCCTATGAATAGCAATGGAGCATTGTCTGGTATGGTGCCAGAAGGTGAGAGGATGGCGTGAAAAGATCAGGCAGGGTTCTGCTCTGCTGTCACTAGGAGTCGAAATCGTCTGCACAGCACTAACAACAACAAAAGTTGGATAGTAATAGTGAGCTGTGGTGGTGCCCCTTCCCTCGTGAAAATCCTGCTAGGCAAAAGGATAGGAAGCTGGAAAGCCCCCAGTGCTGCAGGAGGCTCTCCCTCCCAAGTCTATTTATTCTTCTTAAACATTACACAAGTGAGGGAATGGGGTTCAGTAAATGATTGCTCCTGAGCCCACACATGTGTTATTGTACCTGATTGCCTTTCATATCTAAACTTGAAGCCAATTCCCCATGACACCTCAAATTATGTTTAATTTGACTTGGGATTCAGATATATAACGTAGCTTCTCATGTTTGATAATTTTTTTTATTACTGAGCACCTCATAGTTCTTTTTATCTTGTTCATTGACCAAGGTGTCATAGAAGGCTACTTACGGGGACTTAAAATGTCTCTAATTCAAATAGAAGTCTTCAGTGCTCCCTCATAAACATGTCTTGACTGCTTTCTGGATGCTAAGCAATAAGCACTGGTGCTGAAGAAGATGCTCCCTTCCCTACAAGATTTTGCATTCTAATGTTTAGTGTTGAACTTGTTAAAAAATACATTTCTCAGGGCCAGGTCCATGGCTGAGTGGTTAAGTTCATGCGTTCCACTTCAGCAGCCCGGGGTTCACTGGTTTGGATCCTGGGCACAGACTACACACCACTCATCAGGCCATGCTGAGGCAGCATCCCACATGGAAGAACTAGAGGGACCTACAGCTAGGATCTACAACTATGTACTGGGGCTTTGGGGAGGGAAAAAAAAAAGAGAAAGATTGGCAACAGATGTTACTCAGGGCCAATCTTCCTCACACACAAAAAAAATAGATTTCTCTGTTTTTATGAGTATAAATGTGCTTAAAGTTTTCTCCCTTTGATCCTTTGATGTTCTACTATTTTTTTAAAGAAGTGGAAAATCACTTGTTACTTGATACAGCAATAAGAAGTTGTGGAAACAATACGATCCCATGCAAAGATCACATGAGCTGTGGAATCATGCAGACCTTGGGTTCCATACAAAGCTGAGTGACTTCAGCAAGTCAGCATCTCAGAGCTCTAGTGTCTTTAAATATAAAGTGGAAATAACAATACCTACTTCATAAGATTGCTAAAAGATAAAATTAGTTAACTTATGTCAGCAGCTCAGTTCAAATAGAGCACTTATGTGCTAGGCACAGTCCCTTTTACTGTGGCTTCAGAGGTACCCAGTAAACAGTCCCTGCCCTTAAGCAGTTTATAGCATGGTGATATAGTATGGTGATAAAGTACCCAGTATTACTGCTTAGAAAACAGTAAGATTCCTGTCTTAGATAGGTTTACAATACTTATGTTTGCCATATAATGTGCAGAAAATGTTACATCTAATTGACTGCAGATGTCATGCCTTTTTCTTGTGAATTCTAACTACTGGTTTTTAACAGTTGTTCCACTCCAACTTTCCATCAACTGTGTAAATACACAAGAATGAATCATTCATTCCAGTTCTTCTTTAATTACTGATTAGAGGTTGCCCTCCATCACTGCAAGAAAAAGCATCGTATTGGTCTGCTAGGGCTGCCGTCACAAAGTACCGCAAGCTGGGTGGCTTAAACAACAGAAGCTGAACTTCTCAGAGTTCTGGAGGCTGGAAGGCCAAGATCAGGTGCCAGTCAGGGTTGGTTTCTGGTGAGGACTGTCTTCCTGGCAGACAGCCACCTTCTCTCTGTGTCCTCACATGGCCTTTCCTCTGCGCACGGGGAGAGAGAGAAATCTCTGGGGTCTCATCCTCTTCTCAGAGGAACACCAGTCCTGGTGGATTAGGACCCCACCCTGAGGACCCCATATAATCTTAATTACCTTCTTACAGGCTCTGTCTTCAAATACAGTCACATTAGGGGTTAGGGCTTCAACATATGGATGGGGTAGGGGCACAGTTCTATCCATAATAGGCATATTCCTATTGGAGCAGTAAAGATTTTCCCATAGAGAATTGTGACGGCAGCCCTAGCAGACCAATACGATGCTTTTTCTTGCAGTGATGGAGGGCAACCTCTAATCAGTAATTAAAGAAGAACTGGAATGAATGATTCATTCTTGTGTATTTACACAGTTGATGGAAAGAACATTATTTTCATTTTAATGGTTCTGGAAAGCACAAGTCAGGAGAAGAGATTCAAGACAATAAATACATGGTCTAAAAAGTCATTACAATTAGTTGGACATGATCATTGTTTATTGTCACTCTTGAAGAAACTGGTAATATCTGCTTCGTTGGGATATTAATCAACCATTTATTTATTATAATGTTTTTTAGTCAGCTCTGTAGTGCTGAGCATGCCATTTGAATATTTATACCCTACCTTGTTCCAAAAAGACTTTTTTAATCCCCTCAGTGATTGAAAGAATCCTAAAAAGCAGACCTCTAAAACCTAGCATCCTGTTTTCTGTGAAGTGATTGTCACAGTAAAATGTGTTATTCCTCTGTCCCTCCCAAGTTTACGGTAAGTCCTAGTCCAGATTGGATGTGAAGGTTGTCAAGGAGAATGTGGTATGCTTGGTCTGGCACAGCGTGATCCTGCCGTTTAAAGAGTCACGGGCATAGGGGCAGGGACTGAGAAGGAGCACACATCGTCAGTGTCAGGTTGGTGTCTCATTTCCAGTGCGGTATCTTCAGGTAATGCTTGGCCTTAATAATTTAGACTACTTTCATGTAGATGAAGCAGTCCAATAAATTTGGGAAACAGAAGTCAAAGTTCAGTTTTATCCTTTGATTGAAAAGCTGATGATAAAGGTAAGAAGAATGTATCAAATATACTTTATTAGGAAGTTTACATTTTGCATCGTGACATGGTGGCTACAAAAATTAAATGACTAATGCTTGAAAGGAAAAAAAAGTTGTTTAGCCTCGAAAGTGGCGTAGGATATAAGCCCGAGGAATGATGATACAAGAAAAGCTACTTCTTTATCATACTCAGAATAGTATACAATGTATTTTTTTGTTTGTTTTTACCATCCATATGATACCAAGCCTTTGCTATTGCTGTTTTTTTCTTTATCTCATGCAGTGTATCTAATGATGTTAATATTGGAATATACCAAATATAAAGCATATTCTAAATATTTTCATAGTATATTCAAATATAAAGTATATTTCTAACATATCCCCCCCATCATTGAAAACCACCAACCTGAAATTTTAACTGGGAACCATTATAGTATCTGAGAACAAAACTGTGTATTCATTTTGCAGTCTAATTCCTATATTAAATCTTATTATCATTTTAAGACTTTAGAAAGAAGGAGAAAGGAGGCATTAATGCTGCTGAGTGGAGGACTTTACATGTTGCCCTTTGCAATCCTAACTTCACTGTGAAGTAGGCATTATGCCTTTCTTGACAGGTGAAGAAAGCAAGATTCAGAGAATTTAGGTAACCTGATTAAGTTCACGCAATTAGTAAGTGATGGAGCCAGGAATCAAACCCAGGTCTTAGGAGAAGAGAAGCTAGAACCATACCACTTTGTTCCTTTTCATTTGTTTGAATTTAAAACTCACCATCCTATATCCCTTGAAGTGATTATAGCAGAAAAAAGGCCACTCCTCTGCCTCGAAAAACTAGTCTGATGATTGTTCCCTCAGATGTTTTGCAATGTTTGTTACACTCAAAAGGCATCTAATAAGTCATTCTGCTAGTTTTGAAGAAATGGGGAGGAAACAAGTATCCAACAGTTTCCTCTTTAAAATCAGTCCTTGCAAAGTGTCATAAAGGAAGATTCTTTTTTACATGATTTTTTAAAAGAAGAGTTTGTAAAGCTTGTTTACTTAGAGTTCTTAACAAGAGATGAAGAATGGACTTTAAACCATCAGGAGCTTTCTATAGTAGGTTGACTTCAGGAATATAACTTGCTCAGCCGTAAGCATCTCTTTACATGGGCCAGCAGGCTGTGCCTCTCCTTGAAAGAAGGACATTCCTGTCACTTCCAAGTAACTGCTGCTTCTCTTTTCCTCCTTTTTCACACACACCCTTGCCAAGAAATATGTACCATCCCACCCCAGAAAAAAAAAGCAGATAGATAGACGGCACTTACTGCCATGTGCTTTGTATTTATAGTTAGTTGTGTATGTTTCTGTCCCTGGTTCAATTTTGAGCTCCTAGAGGCCGTGACTTTTCTATTCCTTATATCTTTCCCGGGTAATATTTTTAAGGATATAGACAATATATGTTTGTTAAATTGGAAAAAAGAGTGTTCCAAGATTCCTTACAAAGACTAGCTTTCTTGTCATCTGTGTAATATGCGCCTCATCATGGAAGAGGAGTGAAATTCTGTACAACCTATCTCAGAATAGTGGATCGCTGAGCCTGCTTCAAATCGTTACCTGTGTCATATACATACTGTATCAAATCTTTTCTGGAGTTTTCAACAAATAGCTAATTATCCTTTCATTACACCAGGAAGAATGACTTTATTCCAAGAATTTTGTATATTTATATAGAAAGCATTAACATTCCCAAATTATCTGTTCTTGCCACATTTACAGGCACAAACGGTGGGGCTCCCAGTGACCATGCATTCGCCGAATGTGCGACTGATGCGATCTGCCCTCCTCCCACAGACGTCCAATGTGGAGGCCTTCCCATTCCCAGCCTCGGGCTGTCAGGCGGAAGCAGCCTTCATGGAAGAAGAGTGTGTCGACACTCCAAAGGTACCAATGTCTTTGAGAGACTTGCAGGTTGGCTGGAGACTTCAGTTTGGCCCACGAGTGTTGTACTTTGGCTTTGTTGAACTTTGTCATTTCCTCAAGTCACTCAAGAGTGTTGTTTTTGTGCAGAAAACCTGAGAGAAGCATCCAGAGCTAAACTCAGCTCTCATCACCATCTTATCGTTACAACTGTTATGACTTTTCAAAATCTTTTTTTTTTCCTCTTTCCTTAACCAGTTCCTTCTCTCTTCAAGTTTCTAGATCCTCATAGGTTTTGGGTTGTTTTTTTAAACAAATTGTAATTCTGAAAACAAAAATACAACTCTTACGCTGAATTGAGCTTTGTCTATGTTATTATTGCCTCTCTTCTGCCACGTGTGCTGCAGCTGCAAAATGATGGGCCATCTTTTTTGGTCAATTAAACATCTTTTTCTGTCCAGTTTGAACATGCTTAAAGGAGATGAGTTTATCCTGGTATACTGCATAAAGTTGGCTTTTGGTATATGGAAGGTGACAGCTTCTCTCATTTAATGGGTGTTTACGTAACTTATAATATATGTTTTATATACTTAGCATCAAGTCCTGTACAGGGGATCTTCTTAATGGGCAGGTCTTGGAGTCTGTTCAAAATAGACTACTTTACTAGCTCTGTAGGCTTGGGCAAGGTGACTAACTTCTTTGAATTTCTGTTTTCTCTTGTGTAAAATGAGAATACCAACTTTATGAGAGTGTTGTGAGGATTAATTGAGATAATGTGTGTGAGGTTCTAGGCAGATTGTAGATACTCAAAGAAATATTGGTTTCCTATCTTTTTAGCCTCTTTGGGTATTAAAAAGATCAGTCAGACATGAGTTCTGCCTCAAAGTTGATAGTCCAGCAGAAGAGACAGGATGCATAACTAAAGACAGTGTGCCAGGTGTTGAATAAATTAATAAAATATACTTGGCCCCTTAAAGAGCTATAAATCAAAGTGCTGCAAGACTAGGAGGAAGCAGGGGGAGTTGCTTTAGCTGGTTTGATCAGGAAAGTCTTTGGGTTAACTGTCAGAGCTGGGAATTGAGAAGGGGGCAGAATCACTCCCTGGTTTGGGAGTGGTATTTCAGTGGAGGAAAGAGCCTGAGCAACAGCAAACATCAGGGAAGCCTCAGTCCATCTAAGTCAGAGCAGCAGCTAAGTGCGCCTGAGGAGCAGGGCATGTGACCGGGTGTCGTACGGCATAAAGACAAATACCTTAGCTTCAAACGGCAAGCCAAGGGATGTAGACTTTTTCTCTAGGCTAAGGTTCTCAACGTGGGAATGTGTTTCATGGTCAAAGAGAGTTTTTTTCCAATGGACTTCCCCAAGGTAGTAGGAAACAATTGAAGATTTTTGATCAAGGAAGCACTATGAGCCATGTTGTGCTTCAGAAATGAGCCTGGAAGGCTACATAGGCTGCATTGGATAGGGGAGAGACTGGTGACAAGGACAACAGAAAGTTAGAGCATATGTCCAGCAGGGAGATGATGAGGACCTTGAACTAGCATAGTGCTCATGAAACTGGAGAGGAGGGGATGATATAAATGAGGTTGTATGGATAAAATCGATAAATATTAGGGTCCAGAGAGAAGTCCAAACTGATAGTATTTCGAGCCTAGATGATGGGGAGGGTGAGTGCCATTTTCAGAAACAGGGAGCTCTGGAGGTAGAGCTGATTCAGAAGTTAAATAATGAGTTGAGCTAGAACGTAGTCAAGGCGGCTTGATCCTGGGCTGCCACAGGCAGGTGTTAAGCCGAGTTGCTAACCACAAGGAGTTAGTGTCCATGCCCCTGAGGACAAGGCTACTTCCTGTGGACAGTCTGTTTTCTCTGCCTGTAGTTGCCTAGCATGTTCAGTAACCTCATAAACTGCTACTAAATTCTCACCCAGAAATTTAGGCATAAATTGGGGCAACATAATTCATTTAAGATCTAATTCCCTTGAAAAAATTAAAATGCAGTCTGCTAAAAGCTTGTCTGTGAGGGCATCAGGCCCGAAACACAGATTGGGCATTGGCTGCCGTATTATATAGGGCAAGCTATTTTTAAAGCTTGTGATTGTTACCGTAACTAGGAAACAGACAGGAAATGAATGATTTTGTGAAAGATATAGACAGAGATAGATGGTGTATTTGCATTTGTAGGAAAAGCAGTGCCACGCTGGAACTGGCCACCCACACTGGCAGTGCCACCCTGGTGCGTAGTCAGGCCATAGACATCCACTTGTCTTATTCGTGGCCCATTTCATTTATGTCAGCAAAAATGCCTGTCCCTCTGCCTTCTCTATACCTCTTTCTTTGGGGCCCATAAATAACTGGACAAACACAAAACTATCAAAGATACAATTCCTTTGTTATTCATATTGCTTCATATGCATTCACTATAACACCCATTTGTTGTCTTCTAAAAGATGCTTCCTAACTGCATGTATTGCTCATTTATTTCTGCTCTCAGTTGGTGGCAGGTATTGTGTGTCAAAGATTTCACCTCTCCTTCCCTCCCAGAAGTCTTCAACTTAAAACTATCAGTAAAGTCCCTTAGGGAATCTGCATTGAAGTGTTGGTTTCTGGTTCTCCTTGAACCCGACTTCAAAAAATAGCACCTTTCTGAGACAGTCACCCAACTCTGACCAGTAGCTGAGACCCCCAGGTAACAGAGACCATTGGGCAGATGTGCTAACTCTGTGGGATCAGTCTTTCTCTTTTGAGGCTTTCTTTGGGAATGATGAATTTTACATACACACCCACACACACACATTTCAGTCACTTTTAACATTTTATTAGAGATTATAATAAAAGGATTCCCAAGTTACTATCTTCATAGCTGGATAGCAGAAGGGAACTGTGAGTCTAAACTGTGAAAATGCAAGTGTAATAGAGGTGTTCCATGTCTGTTTACATTTTTAGTACTTTTTTTTAAAGGTAGCATACATAAGAGAAGGTCTGAAAAGGACGTATATCAAAACCTCTTAATGGTCTTAACCTCTAAGGCTACTTTGTAAAGGGGAGAAATGGCACTTTTTCTTCCGAATTTGAATGTTTTTATTTAAAATTGAAAACAAAATAAAACCAATCAGAATCACACATGGAAAACTCAGGAAGGGAACAAGAAAAAATTAATTTATCCATAATCCCACTACCCAAAGACAAGCATATTTTGGCATGTTTCCTTAGAGTTGGTTATATATGGATGGATGGATAATGGATGGGCGGATGGATGGGTAGGTGGGTGGGTGGGTGGGTGAGTGTAGGGTGGTTCGGGAAGTAGATAGACTAGTTACAACAAAATGGCATTGTATTATATGTAGTTTTGTGTCTTGCTTTTACATAATATAACATTATGAGCATTTTCCCCATATCATGAAATCTTCTTTGAAAGCCTGAGGTGTATTTAACAACTGCCTAATATATTGTATTAGATGTACCCTTACTTAACTGCTCTCCTATTTTTGGACATCACGTACTTTAATTTTTTTACATGCTTATATATGCTTCAGGTGAATTTCCTTGTGTCTAAATATTTGACTGTACTGAGGTTATCCAGTTCTTTCCTTCCTCACCTGGTTGTTTATTTTAATTTGCCTCATGATGGTGAAGATGCTTTAAAAGAAAATGTTGTAGTTATATCCTCATGCTTTTTAAATTTTTATTGTTATAAAGGATTCTCTTTGGTCAAGAAATAATAATAATAGATACAGTATTTTAGTTAATCCTCTCAGACAACTTTACTCCTATTTTACAAGTGAAAAAAAATTGAGCTTTATGGAAGTTAAGCACCTTGCTAATAAGTCATGGAACTGAGATTTGAGCCTACAGCTCCGCCTCCATATATGCCAAACTTTGTCAGACACTTAGGACACAAATTAAAGAAGGCATATTCCCAGCCTCCAGGCTCACTGACTAGTACTCTGTGCTACTCTATTGTACTAGTCTGCTTGGGCCGCCATCACAAAATACCGTAGGCTGGGTGGCTTCAACAACAGAAATTATTTTCTCACAGTTCTGGAGGCTAACGTCCAAGATCAAGGTTCTGGTCAACTTGCTTTCCGGTGAGGACTCTTCCTGGCTTCTGGAGGGCTGCCTTCTCACTGTGTCCTCCCATTGTCTTGCCTCTGTGCTCAGGTGGAGAAAGAGAGAGCTTTCTGCTGTGTCTTCTTATAAGGACACTAATCCTACTGGATCAGGGCTCCACCCTTATGACCCCTTTAACTACACTTCCTTAGAGGCCCCACCTCCAAATTCTGCCACAGTTGGCTTCAATATATGGCTTCCGGGGGAACACAAACATTCAGTCCAGAAGAGTCTGCCAATCTCCTGTGCTAGAATCTTGTATCTGTGGTAGAGTCAAGGGTGTTATCAGTTAGTGACGGAGTTTCTGAGAGTTTGACTCCTGTGTGTATACTACCTAGTGCATATGAAGTCTCTTATTAGAAGTGAAGTGATTGATTGAGCTTTAAGGAAAGACAAAAACAACGTATTGGTGTACATTTTACCCACATTGTATTTTGAAGTCCTGCAATTTACAGTTAGCTTAGATTATTTCCTAGAGCAAAAGCTCTTACGTCTAGCAGTTTAGGTCACCTAAGTAAATCAGCCCAATATTTCAGTCACACAATCCCAGAGCTGAATTTGTTATATCAAGTCCCTGGGTAAATTGGTAGGCAAGGGTGGCACGATTATCACCTGTTTCCGCAAGTGAACTTATAGCTGAAGATGTTCACATCTATTAACTATGAGCAGGCTCCCACATGCTTTCTGATTTAATCATCAGACATCATCTGAAAAAACAGATCATTGTTTTCCACCTGTCCCAGGATAAAATTGAATTCAAACATTTTTAAATGAAAGACATAATTTCTCCTGTAGTCTAGATGAGCAGGTAAGTTTGTAAGCAGACAATTTAAGAAAAAATTATAAATTTTAAGGGGACTGCAAGGTTTTTTGAGTACTCAGAAAAAGATGACTTGTCTCTATTAAGGAAAAAAAGAACCTGGTTGTAAGGCTATACTGCAAGAAATATCTGGGAAAATTTTGACGTAGGCTGTAAGTGTAAAGATGCTCAGTAGATACTTACTTAACAGTCTTTTCTCTGCGACTTTACCCATTTCTAAATCATCCCTAGCTAGTCCTAGAAAATTGTATTAGTAGACAGTTAAGGAACCTAGAGGTATGAATATAAGTTCCCAAGCAGCCATTCTTTCCTACGGCAAACTATGAAGTGTATCAAAAAGGGAACACTTATGTGAGGAAGGGCCAGGGGCAGCATAAGTTGCTGGCCAGATTTCAGAGTTTTTGTTTTCTGGTGCCATGGGGAAGATTGGTCTTAGTCTGGGAGGAAAGCATTTGCCACTCTTCCTTTTAAATGACCGCTCGTCACTTTAAAGCCCTACAATGCGTCAGCTACCTTATCCAAGTAATGGCTACAGCCCCAGAGCAGTTTTTATGGAATAACTGTCCCCTCCCCCAACCAAACAAAGATCTGAGTCACCCAAGTCTGTCTCTCCAAATAAAGGGCTTTGCGGTGCCTTCAGATTGGTTGCCATAAGAGGAAAGCTTCCTGTGTCTGGCACAGGGATGTCCCACGTCACCTCTCACATACATGAGCTTCTCCTGCTTCCAAAGGAAACAATAGCTCTACCCAGTGTATTCCAGGTGAAAGTACTGCTGAGAACTCAGCGTCTTATGACTGGCTGTTCCTGAGCAGCTATTCATAGGAGAAAACGCATTGATTTCCACGGGGGAATAGTTAAGGTAATGAGGTAAATAATTGCCTCCCCATTGGGGCTTTTACCAGCCAGAAGAACTGGCAACCACAGCTCCCCTTTGTCTGCTGTTTCTGCCTGCCATTAGGTGGTTTGCTTGGCAACTGCGTAGGAAGGCAGAGTTCTCGCTCAGGAGCTGTGCTGAGCTCAGCCCTGTGGGAGAGAACCGTAGATACTGTGTGTGTTGCTGGAGGAGAGGCTTCGGTGTGCTGGTGCTCGTTAACCTCCGCTGGAATTTGGGGCCTGTGAGTCATTTGTTACTCTATAATGGAAGGCTTTGGCTGTTTGCCACTTGAGGGTGTTTTTTTTTTTTTCCAATCCTTTTTGTGGTATCAGCCTGTCTTTAAAGAATCCTTTTTTTCCATTCCTCGGGCACATAGAACCAATTAAAGACTAAATCAAATGGGCAGGTACTTAAATTATGAACATAAAAGTATGTCTAGAACCTTCCAGTATGTTTTGTGGTTGAAAATGAGAAGAATGCTGGTGACTACTCTTTTCTTAGTTATGAGCCATACAGGTATTTTTTTTTTTTTAAATCTCATCTTCCCCCTCTTTGTCTCCCTTATTTTAAAAAAATAACTGGTAGGCCTCAAGCTAATATACCCCTATTCATCTGGAAACCACTAAAAAAAATTGTTTATTGTAATGACGGTGACTCAGAGAAACCTGGGAGACAGTGCCAATTTGGGTCATAATGGGCTTCTGTCTCTAAGCTGCAGTTGACTTGCCTCAACTTCTAATCTGCGTGTCGTCATTGGTAACAAATATGTACATTTTTAATATTTTACTTAACTTCTAGCTTGCTACAAGTCGACACTTTTTCCTTTGTGGATTTTCTAGTGTTTCAGCAGAGCAGCAATTTATAGTTTCCTCTCACACTGATGTTTAGGTGAATGGCTGTCTGCTGGACCCTGTGCCGCCTGTGCTGGTGAGGAAGGGGTGCCAGTCATTGCCCAGCAACATGATGGAGACCTCCATTGATGAAGGGCTGGAGACAGAAGGAGAGGCTGAGGAGGACCCCAGCCAGGCCTTTGACGCGTTCCAGTCCACGCGCTGTGGGCAGAGACGGCACACCCTGTCGGAAGTGACCAACCAGCTGGTGGTAATGCCGGGGTCAGGTATGAGCGCCCGTCAGCACTGGGTTAAGGCTTCACAGCAGCAACTCATATTCCAGTCTCCAAAAAACAGTAACGATGCCAGCCAGTTTCTAAAATACAGTGAACGTTTTATCCTGTACAGACCACATTCAGCAGGCTGTAGGCTTAGGCCTGCTCGGCAGCTAAGAGAGATGAAATATCTCTGAGTTGGCTCCCCTAACTCCTAGGATTCATGCGAGTGCCGTGTGAGGTGTCGAGGACTCGGGCTCTTTGGGAGTGGCAGAGGTTGTATGGGTCCAGGTTCTGGAGTGTTTTCCCCATTAAATTCAAAGCTGATTAAATTGCCCTGTAAAAAGGTTCTGAAAAGATGTTCGGTTGGAGATTAAGCACACTGCAGCTGTGGAAACTCAAGCTGGTTATGCTTTGAATCCCATGTTCAAAGGAGATGCTGCTTGCTGTTGGTCATAACTGTTGTTTTGTTTTGTTTTGTTTTTCTCTTAAAGGGAAAATTTTCTCCATGAGTGACAACCCCTCCCTTGACAGTGTGAACTCTGAGTATGATATGGGGTCTGTTCAGAGGGACCTGAACTTCCTTGAGGACAGCCCTCCGCTTAAGGACATCATGTTAGCCAATCAGCCATCACCCCGCATGACGTCTCCCTTCATAAGCCTGAGACCCGCCAACCCGGCCATGCAGGCTCTGAGCTCCCAGAAACGAGAGGCCCACAACAGGTCGCCAGTGAGCTTCAGAGAGGGCCGCAGGGCGTCAGACACCTCCCTCACCCAAGGTGACTGACTGCCCTCTCCTGGCTTTTAAAACTCTTATATTATAGGACTTGAGGGGGTTTGTTGCCGTGTTGGTTTTACACCTGTGGTCACTGGAAGGTCTTGTGTTTTATTTAAACTGTTTGGTCCTTATTCTTTCTTTCAGGAATTGTAGCATTTAGACAACATCTTCAAAATCTGGCTAGAACCAAAGGAATCCTAGAGTTGAATAAAGTGCAGTTGCTGTATGAACAAATAGGATCGGAGGCAGACCCTAACTTGGCCTCAGCTGCTCCTCAGCTCCAAGACGTGGCCAGCAGCTCCCCTCAGGTGGGTGCCCTGGACCCTTCCCACAGTGCTGACGATGAGGCGTGAGTCTGTCCTGAAGATATGTTGTTTCGTCTAGAGGATTTACTCCAGTCCTAGAGCACGCAGGCTCACTGGGGAAGCCCACAGCCTGAAAGCTTTCTTTGTTGCTGCCACCTGCCACTGATGGGTGAGACACACCCACATTGGCCCTGGGGGATCAGTACTGCACGGAGGCCTAGACGCTCTCAAGCTCTGTTTGGTTCATAGGGCAGATTTGATATGAATTAGCTCTTACAGTCTCCCTTGAACTGCCCCCCCAACACACATAAAAATTAAGAAGAGTAAACTTCACAGAAATGAGAAGCTTGTTGCCACTACCTTTGATGTGATATCACTTCATTAACTATTACAAGTGGATTATTTATGCTAAAAACACAGAAAAATATTGTTGATCCAGTAAATTTCATTTTGAGCCTATGTTCAGTGCATCAAGGATATTATAGCATTCAATGCCCACATGAAAGTAGTGGCCTCCTGATGACATCAAGAGCCTTTGCTACAGTACTGACTGGGTAATCGTTTACTACAGATGATACCTGTGTAAATTTTCTGCAGCGTGATTAACCCTCAGCCTACTAGCTGTGTCAAGAGCTTGGAGTGTCGTGGCCCACAGAGCTGGAGTTCCTCTGGACGTTTCCCAAGGTGCTTAAACTGAGAACTGAAACTTTCTCCCACACGGAGAACTGAAAATATTTTCACCCCTTGCTCCTCAGGAGGAAGTTTCTCAACAGCAGAAAAGCGTGTCTGCTCTCGCCACCAGCGTGCGTCCTCAGCTCTCCCAGCGGCAAGGCCTGGAAGCCCAGTACCTGCAGCACAGACTCCAGGTGGGAGCCTCCCCTTGTCACCCCAGCTCACTCCACTCATCCAGAACCTGCCTTTCTGCACAGCAGAAGCCCATTTTGCTTGGTATTTTTTTAGGGTAGCTGCTTGATTCCTTATAGGCAGGTAGGTTCAACTCTGCACTTGTAGTTTCTAGAAACATGTTGAGACTTAGCCTTATGCTCTGTGTTGGCGGCAAAAAAGGATTTGTCCTCAGGCCCCAGGAAAGGACAATGCCACTGAGTGGTAGGAAGGGAAACCTGGCTTCTTTGCTTCTAATGTTATGCCTCTTAATGAATAATAAATAAAATGGAAATCTCAAGTCAGCAAAATTTTAATATCAACTTTCTTCTACATTGGTGCCTGAAAAATCTTTAAAAATGATACAACATAGATCCCATGAAGAATGAATCAGAGGCCGGCCCGGTGGCACAGCAGTTAGTGCACACGTTCCGCTTCGGTGGCCTGGGGTTCGCCGGTTCGGATCCTGGGTGCGGACATGGCATCACTTGGCAAGCCACGCTGTGGTAGATGTCCCACATATAAAGTAGAGGAAGATGGGCACGGATGTTAGCTCAGGGCCAGCCTTCCTCAGAAATAAGAGGAGGATTGGCAGCAGTTAGCTCAGGGCTAAGCTTCCTCAAAAAAAAGAATGAATCATTCGTTCATTCAGCAGGTACTGTGGCCTTTGCTATCAAGACTTAACTCCACTTTTCTCATTGTTTTTAATCTCTGTGAACCTCACAGTCTTACAGGACTTTTAGAAATGGAAAACTGAAGCAGATTAGAGCTGAGACACTCCAGGCCTGCTGACCCAATGCTGCAGGGCCACGGGCTCTGCCAGGGTCTCAGTGCGCAGGTGGCAGTCCATTCACTCTGCGTGGGTTCTGGAGGACACACTTGGCTTCATGCTTTAGGCAGAACTACAATCTAATGACTGCATTCTGGATGACAACATATTGTCATGCTTGTATTATTTTTCTGCTCTTCCAGAAGCCCAGCCTTCTGTCAAAAGCCCAGAACACCTGTCAGCTTTATTGTAAAGAACCACCGAGGAGCCTTGAACAGCAGCTGCAGGAACACAGGTGAGAAGGGGTCTTTGGCCAAAGAAGTCACTTTCTTTATGGAAGACTTAAGAATGCTGGATGTGTTGTCCTTTTCCCCAGGTGTTTGCCTCTACTAGGAAAATAGGTGTCAAGACCTGATCGTCAATGCAGATATTCCAGCGTCCATGGAACATGGGCCTTTTAGGACATAGCAGCCCCAAATGTGCTTTGTTTTCCTTTTCGTCTGGCATTTCCCCTTTGGGTTGTGAATATATTATGCTTTCAGAATCCACGAGCTCATGCGATTTAAGTGGGTTATACTGCAGGGAAGGCCTCCGTCCTCTCTTGCAGTATTCCTGCCCTAGGCCTCACTAGTACAAGCCGCTTGGCCAAGGTAGAATTACCTAATCCATCAATCTCCAGACACCCACAGAAGCCAAGGTGTCACCACACCTTTGAATCACTCCAAATGGGAAATTAGCCTCCTGCTTCATAGGGAGAAAAACTCAGAGTATTAGAGAAAATGAATTAGTGTTCACTTTAGCACCGACTGGTCAGAATGGGGGGTTTAGGAAACCAGACACGATTGGTTCCTACCCCTACTTTGTTTTCTTCTGCCACGGGAAAGAGAGAGGTGGGGGACTAAAGCTAATGACTGATACTGGATTTACATTAAAATGGCCATCACTGAAGAGGATTTAAAATTCTTTCTTTCGGTATTGCCATTTAGACTCCAACAGAAGCGACTCTTCCTCCAGAAACAGTCTCAGCTGCAGGCGTATTTTAATCAGATGCAAATAGCGGAGAGCTCGTACCCACAGCAGAGTCAGCAGCTGCCCCTTCCCCACCAGGAGACACCACCGCCATCACAGCAGCCACCGCCATTCAGCCTGACCCAGCCTCTGAGCCCCGTCCTGGAGCCTGCTTCAGAGCAAATGCAATACAGCCCTTTCCTCCGCCAGTACCAGGAGATGCGGCTGCAGCCCCTGCCCTCCTCGCCTGGTCCCCGGGCTCCACCGCCGCTGCCCGTGCACTTGCAGCAGCAGCAGCCGCCACCGCCGCCGCCGCCACCACCACCGCCACAACAGTCGGGAGCTGCCCCAGCACCCTTACAGTTCTCCTATCAGACTTGTGAGCTGCCAGGCGCTGCCTCCCCTGAGCCAGACTATCCCACTGCCTGTCAGTACCCCATGGATGGAGCCCAGCAGAGCGGCATGGCAGCTCCAGACTGTCCCAGGAGCTCAGGACCGCAGGAGGCCCCCTCCAGCTACGACCCTCTAGCCCTCTCTGAGTTCCCTGGACTCTTCGATTGTGAAATGCTAGAGGCTGTGGACCCACAGCACAGTGGTTACGTCCTGGTAAATTAACCTCAGCACAGGAAGTAAGGCGGGTCAAGTAAAGGAAGAGTATTTCTATTTGTATTCCAGCCTTTTAAATTTAAAGCTTATTTTCCTGCCCTCTCCCTAATGGGGAAAAAATCAAGTCACCCAACTGGAATCAGAGGGCCTGGCCGGGTGGATGTTGCTTCCTCCTGCCTCTGTCCCACCAGTTTTCTGTGGCAAGTGCTGGAACATAGTTGTAGGCGGAAGCTCACGCCCTTAGGTCAAGTGGAGCAAGCTCTCACGGGAGGCACCAAAAAATGTTTTTATACGAAGAAGGCATCCAGACCCAGGTTTTATGCAAAACTCCACCAATTCGTTATCGAGGGAGACCTTGGTGAACGCAGGAAAAATGTGTGCCATTGTATATGGGCAAAAAAAAAGGCAATATATTTTTCACTGAAGCCAAGCAACAACATGTTGCTTAAAGGCAGATCAAGAATGCATAATGAAATTTGATGCACAGGAAATAAAGGACAGTGTACTTGGTCATTGAATCCTAAGTTCTAAGCTGCTGAGGCAAGTTGTCCCTGAGGCCATTGAAAAGCAGTAGAGTGTGAGCTTTGTTTCAGGGGCCACTACATAATGGCTGGTACTGACCCCTGAGACCAGTGGTCATCTCCCCCTGGGAGCGGGTGACACACCACTTCAGAAGGTGCCCTGGGTTACAGAACGTCAGAGTGTACTTGGCACCAAAGATGTCACCTGTAGAACCAGAGACCCACCGCAGTGGAGACTGGGGGCACGAATTCAAGAAGCCGTCAGGAGCAGCAGCCCCGGGCCGGGGAAGACGGGCTCTCCCTGCACAGTCCTTGTGGAGACTTCTGGTTCGAGCAGTGGGTCTTTAGAGGACCTGGCGTCTCTTTTAAAATGTAATAACTACTTTGACTTTACACTCTATGTTGCTAGTAGTTTGAGCTTTGTATATTTGGACAGTTTCATATAGGGCTTAGCAATTTTAAGGACAAGACAAATGAACTTTGATCTCCCATGTGAAGTGGTAGTGCTGTGCCTTTTCCCCCAGATCATGCTTTAATTCTTTCTTTTCTGTAGAAACCAATAGTTTTCCATTGATGTCAATGCTAAATCCAAAGTCACTTCAGAGTTTGTTTTCCACCATGTGGGAATCGCATTCTTAATTTCCGTAAAGTTCTGACTTGTAATGAAATGTTCAAGTATTACAGCAATATTCAAAACCACAGATGTGTTAACCATTAAGCAGATCATCTGCCAAACACGTTATCTTACTAGTAAATTAACCCTTACAATTCATTCATCAGAGTAAGTAAAAACTAGATGCTACAGCTAGTTAACTGTATACCTAGACGTCATGAGTAACTTGTCATTTGGACAGTAACATCCAAGGGTTACAAATTCAGTATTATTTACAAAGACTATCGTTTCTGTCCTTTAGAACGGCTTGTCTATCAGCAGATGAATGCGCTAAGCACAAAGCATCTTCCTTAAAGCACAAAGAAGAGAGATACTCCAGTGATGCTGCATCTAGAACACACCTTTAAGTTGCCTTTCCTCTTTGTAGTAAGTGTCCAGGCAGGTGAGGAGAAGCATGGAAAGTCTAAGGAGTTCTGTTCCAGCCCCCGCCCAGCCCCGCCCAGCATTGGAACTGGAGCATCCTTGTCATCGGCTCCACTTGGCGCCAGGCCCGTTCACAGAGGCTCTCTGCGTGGGGTTGGACTCTGGGTGTTAGCAAGAAAGGGTGGTGCGGAGGACTGTCATGCTGTGATTTAGCAACACGCAGTGAAAATCCAGGAAGAATGATGTTCCTTCTATGGATTATTCTCCTTCATGCTTAAGATTGATGATTTCATGAAATAGATCACATCGTTTCATTTAAGGGATCCTTTCATTAAGATCTCTAATCTGTTCTAAGGTTTTGCAAAATAAGCCAGTTATAAAATAGGGCTTGATTTGTTTAGGCTGAAGGATATTTCCCAAAATATACTACAGAAGCGCTGTAATATTTATAAAATTAAAACGCTTTCCAGATTGAAAATGCAGGCCGCTCATTTCAGAGTCGCAGGAATGGCACAGTTACAGATTGGCATAAACACCTGCCTCCCGGCAAGGCCATCAGCCACTTAGCCTGGGAAACCTCGGAGCTATGGCAGGACGAGCGGGCTGACAGATGAGAGACAGCGGCGAGGCTGTTGGAAGGTTAAAGGGCCCAGAGAGAGACATGGGGAGGCACCAGCAGGGCCAGGTATGGTAGGAACCGACAGACCAGCGGCGCGGGCACTCACCTGGCCAGTGCGTGACCCGCCTGCCGGACCTGTGTTGTAAGCTCCTGTTTGTTTTTCTCATTTATTTCAAGCAGAAATCAATAAATTCCCTAACGATCTGTATTTACTGAAACGTAAGGTGGTGAGAGGAGACTGCTTCTGTTGGTCAATCAGGTGTTTTCCCAGCCCTGTCTGATCATTGCCGTTGCTCTGTCCCCTAACTAGTGACCTGTGTAAGCTGCCAAGCCGTTTTCTCCTCACAAATACTGAAGTAACACTAAGAAGGCTTCGTACCTCTCTTTTTATGAGAGGCTGCTTTGAAAGAACGACTTTCTTTCCAGTCTGTTTCACATTAGCAGTGTGTACACTACTGTATAATAATCATTAGCTTTATTACTTTGTAAACCAGGCTCCTCTGAAGAGACTTTGGTGAGATGAACGTGAGGTAAAAATTTCATTCAGCAAAAAGTGCAATATGTGTGGTACTTTCTTTATTTTTTGTTTATGTTCTTTTTTTAATCCAGGGGTATTAGTCTCTGCTTTGGGAAAAAAAGCACTAGTTCTGCCATTTCTAGTCGGGCAAGTGTGTCTCTGGTATTTACGTGCAGCTGATACGCAGGTCCCTGTAAGGCAAACAGAGCGTGTTAATGCAAAGAGGGAGGGTGGCTGCTCCATTTCAAAACTGCCGTGAGCTCCACTGACGACGCCTCGCCGCCCCTCGCCCCCTCTGCCCCTCCCGGGCCTGCAGTGGCCTCTTGCTACCTTGGCAACAGAGAAGGGGGCAGAAGGTTCGCCACACCAGCCACCCTCCAACATCGGCGTAATGGGAGACATCTGGGGCCGCCACGGAGGACCAGGAGATGGGACTAAAGGACTCTGTGAGTTCTGGTATGAACAAAACCCCTTCCTTTCTGAATCAAACTCTGCCTCCTGGGAAAGAGAAAGTCCCTTTCTTCCTCAGAAATAAAGAACTCGCGAGGGTTTAAGCTGTCCTGCGTTGGTTAGGTGGGACTGGCAGGAGCTTGGGATGGGGACTAAAGGCAGCCCTTGGCTGGAGTTCCTGGAGGAAGGGGGGTGCCCTGTGTCCTTATGGGGCGAGAGGCAACCACCTTGGGGGAGTATCGCCCTCCAGTAGACATAAGGCCTCTGCAGAAGGGACTCATCTGGCACTGGCCTCTCCCACTCTGCCCCCACACTGTCATTAGTACCTAAAAGGGGGGCTCTCAGAGAAAAGAATTCTGCCTAATCGTTAGTGTTGGGGAGAAGGGTGTGTGCTCAGCTAGAGTGACAGGGTGGCCAACCAGAAACTAAAGAAAGGGGACAAGCAGCAGCTTCTCGTGCTAGCTGGCCCGGGGTCCCGGTGCGGAGGTGAGCACAGCCTCTGGCCAGGGGCAGGCAGTTCAGACAGGTGGACAGGAGGACATGAGTGGCTTCTTTTGCAGGTACTTAAATATTGGGCGCTATGTTGGGGTAGAATTTTCAGCTCTGTATTACATTTAAAAACCCCTATTCAACAGTTACCCTCAGGCACCCTAAGGGTTTAAAGGAAATTCATAGTGGGGATAACTTTTTCACATTCCTCCTCCTCTAGAGACAGTACATAGTGTCACTTGACAACACTGGCCCCAGTGAGCAGCTGCGGAGTCCCAGTGCTGGGGCTGACCTGGGCTGCATCTGCACCCCACACTGGGCTGCCTCTCCTGCCTCCTCGGAAGCCACCCGAGCCGCTCGGTCCCTTTGTGCCTAGACATCAAAGGTAAAAACTGGAGAACAGGTAGTAAGTTGGAGTCATTGTCTAGGCAGGGACCTTTGATCATTTTGTTGCTTTTAAAGGAAATTCGTACAGAACTTATCTTCAAAGTGATGTGTGGAAGACAAGAGCAGTATCATCTGCCTCTGTTTCTAAACTGGACAAAGATAAATCTTTTTCATTTATGTATCCCTTCTCACAGGTTCAGTAGTACGGTCCTCCCGGGCCTGCGGCCCCAGGGAAGTGACTGGTTACGGAGCCCTTTCTGTCTCGGCCTGCGGCCCCTGGAAGGCAGCAGGATAAACACAGGCTGGCCTTCCAAAGCCCCTTTTGCCTCAGAGTGTCTGGTCTCACAGTGCCCCTCACATACTTGTTTTACCATTTTTTCCCCATTAAGGTAGCCTGGCTGATTCCAGAAGGCTCACAGCCACCCTAGTTTACACCACATCTTATCTGGGCAGATTTCGACACGTCTGGCAGGAGACGGCACCTACCGTTGCAGACACTGAGCAACAGGCAGCAGCGCCCTAGCCAGCGCCCACTGTGCCGGTTCCTGCCCGACATTCCACTCGCCTGGGGAGAGGAGCAATAGCTGACACCTGCACCAATAGGCCAGCACTTTCACAGGCCAGCTCTTCTGATCCTCACAATTCCATGGAGTCATTTGGGCAGGTAGAGTCCTCATTTTACAGCTGAGGAAAGCCAAGCTCTTGGCAAACACATGACTTGTTGACGTGACTTGTCCAAGTGCACAGAGCTCGTGTGCGGAGCGGCCAGGACAAGCTCGTGGGTTTTCCGGCTTCTCGCTGGGCACCCTTTGCCCTCCTTGGTAGCAGTGGACTCTTCATGAGCAAACAGCTGTATAAACAGAGTCCCCATCATGGTGAAGCATTGGGTGAATGTGACACTGTCCCCACAACCTTGTTGTCCACTTGACAGCTGCTTGGCTTTGGGAAAGAGGTGCCCTCCAGGTGACAACTGCAGTTGTCCAGGTGGCCCTGCATGAACAAGGCTAAGGGGACACAGACCCCACAGACTGCCATCCTTCCAGTGTCCAGTTAACTACAGAAGTTAGGTTCACATCAACATGTCTAGTTTCTCCAAGTTGCGCGATATAGTGATTTCCTACAGGAGCATATGATAGAAGGACCCACCCTTCCTTGATTGCCAAGGGGCCAAACTGCACAGCTCTGGGCCCCCACAGCAGGCCAACAAACCCAACCCCAAGAAAGGGGGCTGCACAGAGAAGAATCATGGACCCAGCCTGGTCCTGAGGAGGGGCGTAACGTTTCTTTACAGTGAAGGCCCATCGAGGAGAAATGCCGATTAGACACTTGTAGGGTTAAAACAAATAACATACTTTGATTGAAGATTTTGTCTTTTCAGAGGCAAAGTGGGTGGGTAGGCAGGAGCTTTAAAAATAGAAGTGCAAAATAACATCCTGGAAAAATATGACCCCAGATTGGAGTGATGTTACATTAGCAACTACAGAGACCTGGGACTCGCCGCTGGCTGTGGGATGCCTGTCTGTCGAAGATTCGCTCAGTCAAGGAAATTCCAGTGGGGAGGCCTTCCCACCACCAAGGGTAAAAGAAATCCGCCTCCACCAGCATCTCCGAAGGCAAAAGCAGCAGAGAGAAAAGGAGATTTGCTTCTCTTTGGGGACTGCAGTTTAAGAAATAAAAGTGATCCGGAGTTATTTGCACTTTGTAGAAACGGCAAGAATATTTGCTTATTGCTGAAGGGAGGAGGGTGGCCTTTGCTGGATGTTTGGTTTGTGAGTTACTTTTGATAAAGTTAATCTAATTGTAGTTATTTTTCCTGTGTGCTTTTTTATTAATTACTAAGAAAAAGTGGTGAGTTCAATAGCTTTGTATTTTGAGTGCAAATCATAATAGCTCCAATGTGAAAAAATCAAAATGTAACCTGTCACTCAATGTTAGAAAATTGCCTAAAATGTGGTTTAATAAATGATCTTTGTATCAAACAGTAATTTAAATGGGGGTAATTTTCTGCAAAGAAAATGTACTGTTTTTACGTTTCCACCCTCTTGAATTAAAATAAAAACAAGTTCTTTTCTAAGAGCCTGGGTGAGATGCATGTCAGGCGGATGAGGTAGGGCCTTCACCTCGTCAGGCCTCGGGTGGGATTTTTGAAGTATGGAAGGTGGCTGTGTTCCCTAAGTGCTGATGCTCATTTCAGGCTACAGAAAAGGACAGTGGATAATATGTTCTCATTGACGTCAGCAGGGTAAATAATACCTCGCTCCCAAGTCGCCTGAGTACACGTTAGCCGCCGCAGAGCGCTGACGGAAGCTGGCTGGGCGCTGCCTGGTGCTCCGGGCCACTCAGAGAGGCAGCAGGAGCAGCAGAGGAGCCGGGCGCACTGGGCTCCCCCAGGACAAACCAGCTGCAGGGCAAGGGGCAGGGGGGGGAGGTGCAGCAAGACCCTGCGACTTATGCTAGCACGTATTCTCTGGGGCCTGCACAAGGCGTCCGTCCAGCGTGCGTGCACACATGCACGCGCGCACACACACTGGGGACCGCTCACAGCACAGGCAGCAGCTCAGTGCCCTCCCTCAGGTGCTGCAGAACCCATTTGCTGATCATTTGGGGCCGCTCTCATGCGTTCGGGACCTGTTCTCATGCCAGAGCCCGAGTGAAAGGGCGTATTAAATCCTACTTTCTGGCAGCAAGTTCAACTGAGATTTAGTTTCACGCACATCATTCCAGTTGAGCCCATGCTATAGAGCTGAGACAGTTCCCAAACTGAGGGATCATCTGCTGGCCGCCTGGCCGGCCGGGTGGGAGACTGGAGCAGCCAACCAAGAGCAGGAGGAGAGCCCCCTCTCCATAGGCTTGTTCTGTTGCCCCAGCCCCACTTACAGTGCTCAGTCCTGCCCCAAAATGGCTGTTAGCCCTGTTTGGCTGCCCAAGAATTCAGTAACACAGAGTTTCAATTGCTTTTTTTTTTAAGGAAGGCGCTCAATTTCAGTAACGATGTTTTGCAGACTTTGCCCTTTCCCACCAAATTTCTCCATCATTTTTATTTGTATTGCCAAAAACAACCCCAGCGTCCAGCGTCCAGGCAAAAATAACAGGCCTGCCAGCAGAGACTGGCCGGAACTTCAGCGGCCAGTCAAGCGCAACCTCCACATTATCCAGAACATCCTTCAGTTCTGTGGCTCTCATGAGCCAAAGGCTCAGCGCAGGGTAGAGGAAGAGACTGGGGCCAGGGAGACCTGAACTCCTCTGCCTGGCAGGGCTCAGGGCCTAGAGCTCGCTGACAGTGCCCACACTCCAAAAGGAGGCAGCGTCTGCAGTGCCACTCACCAGAGCACACCTGTCCCCGCTAGTCAGGGCCCTTCCCAGGCAGGGTAGTAACAGAGCCCCAAGGTTCCGTTCTTGGCCATCTGCTCCTTTCTACCCTACTAGTTCGCAAATTGAGGTTTCACAGATCCCTTTGACATGCTGATAAAAGCTTTGGACCCTCTTCCCAGGAAACATGTACACAGACATACAACCTTGGACAGATAATTTCAGGGGAGGAGTTAGTTTCTGGATTCCCTGAGGCCCATTCATGGGGTTAGAGGGGTTTCTAACCCCTGACTGAGAAAGAGCACAACCCCTCGGGCCTTTTCAGAGTTCCAGTTCTTGTCGGCACTCTCCCTGCTGAGTGTTCCAATCCCTCCCTGGGGGAATCCAGGTAAGGGAGAGAGCCCTGTGCTCTGCCCGCAGCCCCGGCACACCAGGGGGGAAGTTCTGGGCTTTGTGCACTAAATCCTGGGTGCCACGTAGCTGCAAAATAAATGTCACCTGCACAGGCTACAGCTGCTCTGCCCAGGGGGCTGAAGAGAGATGACTCTGTCCTCGTTTCAGCCTCAGCAGTGATGTCACTTCAAATAATTGACAAGACTGAGCAGCTCTGAAGGGACAGCATACCTACACACGGCTTCATCCTTTACGATGTCCTTTTGGGAGGCAAATGTGGGTCTTGAAGTGAAGGGTTCACTGGCAGCCCAGGTATATAGCTATGACCACAAACCACCGAGGCCAAACCCGAAAGCCAGGCCAGGCCTAGTGGGGAGCCTGCCGTGTGTCTCCAGCCATTCCACTAGAACAAGCTTTCCTGCTCGGACGTCCCAGCCCCCCAGCGCAGCTGAACTCCTCTGGAGCTGCAGTTGCAAATACCCCTAGGGAGCACTGCTACCTCCCTTCGGGTACCTTTCTAGGGGACTTTCCCCAGCAGGACTGACTCAGAGCTGGTCTGAATTGGCAGGGTCTGAAGCCCAGGCAAAGCAGGTGCAGGGCTAAGCCATGAAGCAAGGAGCCCAGATCAGGCGAGGGAGTTCACCGCACCATGGGAAGCGGATCCCCTGCAGCTGAACCTCCAAGAGCTGGCCAGGCAGAAAGCTCAGAAAATCTGGGCCCAGAAGAAATGAGGCATTGGGGATTTGACCTCTCCAAGGGAAAATCGAGTCACTCTCTTCATCAGGCAGGCTTTCAGAGTTTCTGACTCAGTCTCTCTCCTCACTCCCCAAAGAGGAGAGAATAATGGGGCCTGAGATGCCCCAAAGGAGGCCTGACTGAGAACTCTGACCCTCAGGAGTCCATTACCATGCCAGGGCCGCCCGCACGGTTGGCAAGTGGGACACAACTGAACTGAGGGAAAACCCCCCAGAGCTTTCCTAGAAGCACACCATGCCAAGGATGGGTTTACAGTTCAGCTGACTTGTCTGGGACCCACTAGAACTGACCTCTGGTCACTAGAGAAGCCCAAAGGTTTAGCAGGGTCCCTGTGCCAACAAAGGGGGCCAAAGGGCAGGCAGGCAGTTGGAAGAGGCCCCAGGGATGAAAGGGCCTGGCAAGGAGGGCCTGGCCAGGACCAAGGCTGGGAAAGCCGGGCCAAGCTTCCCCCAGCCCACCCCCTGGAACAGCCACCCTGACCAGAAAGGCCACCCGGGCATGGTGGTGCCTTCCCATTCTCTGCCAGGAACAGCCTGGGAGGCAGCAAAGAACCTCTGACTGAGTCCTCAGCTCCTGGCACCACTCCCAGCCCAGCCACTAACCTGAGCAAATCATCGCAAAGGCTCATTATTCCCCACGGTAACTTGGGAACATAGACTGGCTGACTTAACTTGCAGGCTACTGTGCGAGTCCAGAGCAGCCTGACATAGCACTGCCCACCAAGAAAGCGTACCTCACCTCCACCTGTCTTGCTTTCATTTAACTCTTGACTGTCCCAACACCAGACAGAGAAAACGGTTGCTTGGTGCCTGTGAAATCTCTTCACAGATTAAAGGGTGGGTGCCCTCTTCTGAACACCTGCTCCACGTTGAGAACCAAGAACTTTGCCCAGGATGTCTTTATTTTCTGTGAAGAGTTCTGGGCAGCGCCAGCCATGGGTACCACAGACATAAGAACATCCACGAGAATCCAGGTCCCACCTAGAAGGCCTGTCTTATCCATCTCTAACTTTTAGGCCAAGCTCCTGGTGGAGAAGCGTTGCAGGGCCTGGGAGGTCTTTCTCTGCAGACAGCCACTCGAGCCCCTAGCCCCTACAGTGGAGAACACGGCTCTGGCTGGGCCTGTGACCGGCCCAGTGCTGACCTCCCCGCACTGACCTCTGCTGCCAGCCCTCAGGGAGATGCACACAGACCTCTCGTTCAAGAGAACTAATCCCCCAGCCCGAGGTTGGCCCTGGAGGAGCTCCCGCCCTTCAGTCATCCACAGCCAAGCTCCTTAGAAATGCCCTGGAGACCCTCCGGCAGCACATAGGCCCTCCTAACCTGCTGTCAGGAGGGACAAGGACAGGACAGGCAGCCCTGCCTCCCCCAGGAAGCTGGCTCCTGAAAGAGCTGGGATTCCTGAGCTGCAGAATGGCCCCCACCTCAGCCGAGCCGGAACTGCCTGGTTCACCAGCAAGTGCTGGTTTAGAACATGGAGGAGAGACGGATGCCAGAAGGCAGAAGCCAGAGATCCCAGGGGCCCAAACGACTCTGAGTTTGGGGAAAATAAGGAAAACTGGAAAAACCAGAAGTAGAAACAAGTTAGAAGCAGCAAGGGGTGCAGAAGGTGAGATCTCAGCAGACTCCGGGTGCAGGGGCCGGGCTCCGGCCAGTGTCTGTGCAAGACAGACTGCTCGCACAGAGAGAAGAGGAAAAGGAGGGTGCATTCGGTACATCAGTGCCTGCATTTATGGATGCTTCACTTGATTTCAGTCTCCAAACCTGGGCTTGGGGTGGAGAATGACTGTCCCTCACAGCTGCTCCTTCCTGCAATAACAAGACTGACATCACTGTTGTCAGGGAAATGGTGTTTTGATTAAAATCATGTGACAGCTTCTTCGTGATTCAATAAACAAATCCTCTGTTAACCCTCGCCTGGCAGAGGCCCGTCAGCAGCCCTGTCGTCAGAGCAACCCGTGGACCGTCCAGGAGGGCAGTCCCACCTGACTAGGAGGGGAGACCACCTGTCTGCCACCACCAGGAAGGAGCAGCTGAGTTGACCCAGGGCTGGCAGGGAGTGCAAGGTGGCCACACTCCTTCCTGGCAGGTCCTGCATGTGGGGCACCTGCGACATCCAGAGTACAGACTGCTCTGCAAACCCCAAGGGCCAGTCTCTGAGTAACCAAGCAGGTACCTTTCCTTCACCAAAAGGAACTGGCTCTCACCCCTTGGGGCTGTTCTCTCTTGGATCAAGTCGCAGGCCCAAGCTTGGGGATGCTAAATAGCTCCCGCAGGGCCCAGAGCCTAGCCCAGAACTGAGGACAGTTCCCAGGGCTCTCAGCAGCCAAGGTTCACTCTGACCCCATTTGGGCAGATGGGTGAGACTGCTCTGCACCAGACAGTGAGTGAAGGGTTAAGAACAATGTCTGGTTTGCAATTGGATGACTTCCTGGATCACTCACTTGGCTGCTGGCCCCTGACACGCAGGGCTCTGCCTGGCAACAGCCAATTCCCTTTCCATCTCACCCTCGGGTCATTTTCCTTAAGTGAAACAAACACAGGGAGGGCTCCCTGAGTCACGGGGCAGGGGATTTTTCTGGGTTAAATGATCTGCAGCCTCAGAGGCCTAGCACTG